GTCATGGAGAAAAATAAAGCAGGGAGTGGGATTAAGCTATTACCAAAGTGGGTGGCACTTCCATTTTACACGGGAAGGCCAGGAAGGACCTCAAGAAAAGGGAATTTGGGTTAGACGAAAGAATCTGGGCCAGGTGTGGTGGCTCACGACTGTAATCCCAGCACTTTGGGAGGGCGATATGGGAGGATTGCTTGAGTCCAGCAGTTAGAGACCAGCCCAGGGAATACAGGAAGACCCATCACTACAAAAATGTTTAGAAAAAAGAATCATAAAAAAAGAAAAAGAAGAAAAGAATTTGAGTAAAAACTCTAAGAAGCAAAGGCAGGTCATGTCTATGTCTGGGGTAGAGCACTGCAGGGAGAGGCAGCACAAGCATCAATGCTCCAAGGCTGCAGCAGGCCAGGAATACACCGAACAGCAGGGAGGCCAGTGCTGAGGCAGTGAGTAAGGTAGAGAGTGCAAAGAGAAGGGGCCAGAGAGGTGACTGGGATCCTCTAGGCCACCTTGACTTCGAATGAGATGAGAAGAGGGCTTTGAGTGAAAAGGTGGCTTTGCTTACATTTTAAAAAGTTCAGACTGGCTTTTGTATTTTGTCTTAGACCCTTTGAGGCTGCTAGAACAGAATCCCATACACTGGGTGCCTTGTAAACAACAGAAATAAAGTCCAACATCAAGGCCCTGCAGATTTGGTATCTGGTGAGGGCCTGCTTCCTGGTTCATAGGTGATGCCTTCTCTATGTGTCCTTATATGGCAGAGGGAGTGAGGGAGCTCTCTGGGGTCTCTTTTATAAGGACATGAATCTCATTCATCACAGCTCTGCCCTTATGACCCAAACAGCTACCAAAGGCTCCACCTTCAAATACCTTCACATTGGGGATTAGGTTTCAACATATGAATATTGGGGGGACCTAAACGGTCTATAGCAGGTTTGTATTAGGGTACAGGGGGACAAGAGCGAACACAGAACAGTTAAGAGATTAGTGTAAGAATCCAAGTAACGGATGGTGGTGGCTTGGACCAGGACACTGGCAGTGGGATTGGTAAGCAGTGATCAGATGCTGGATATATTTAGAACAGAACTTATAAGGAGTGAGAAAAAGCGAGACAGCAAGAATGATTCCAAGGCATCTGGAGTAACTGGAAGGATGGAGTTATCATAACGGAGATGGGGGAGAGTGCATAGGTTTGGAAGGGAACACCAGCAGCTCTGTTGTGGATATGTTAAGTTTGAGATGCCTATTGGAGATCTAAGTGGAAGTGCAAATTGACATTAGACATGAACTCTGGAGTTCAAGAGAGTTCCAGGTTGGAGATACAAATTAGGGAGTTTTCAACCTACAGGCGTTATTTAAAACACTGAGACTGCCTGAGCTCACAGGCAAGTGAGGGCAGACAGATGAGAGGTCTGAGGACCGAATCCTGGGGCACACCGAGCTAAGGTATCTGACAAAAGAAGAAACAGCAAGACAAGGAAGGAGGAAAACCAGTGCGAGGCACCACAAGAACAATGTGTTTCAAGAAGGAAATGATCAACTGTGCAAATATTACTGGGAAGTCAAGAAGGAAGACGAGATCGGGACTGAGACCTGGCCCTTGGATTTGGTGTCAGGGAGTTTAATGGAGAGTCGACAAGAACTGATTGGAAAGCTAGATTAGAATGGGCTTGAGAGAGTTGGAAGAGAGGACCCGGAGACATTATAGCAGCAACTCTTTCAAGGGTCTCTGCTAATGAGTCATGGGGAGGAAACAGTAGGAGTGGAATTAAGAGGGTTAGAAATACCGCCGCCCCGCCCCGCCCCGCGCCGCCAAGAAGGAGATCTGCAAGATCAAGTAGAAGAAAAATTTGGAGTTTTAGGAAAGAGAAATCGTGATAGTCATGTCTTTGGCGGGGCGGGGGGTGCATGAGGGGAGAGAGATGACCTGGCACTAGGTAGGACATGAGGCAGTCATTCCATCTAGGGGAACAGGAGGGACGGGACCGCAGAGTAGGAGGGCACAGATGATGGTGGGCAGTAAATTTGGGGAGGAAGTTAATTACCTAGCAGGATAATAGGTGAGTTATTTCCATTTTCCAAATGTTCCAATATGTATTATTACACAGTTTCATTTCACAAGATATTAAAGGAAACAATTCATTCCGACATACGGCTTGTATGAGTAATGCAGTGAGAGCAGTTTTAAAGCTTACTCGGTAAGTCCACTTTCAACTCCGAAGCGACCTCTAGTGGTTCATTTAGACCAATACGTTTTTTTTCTTTTTCTTGGTCTTTAAAGTACAAAATAGCACTGTCAACCTTCAATATTGTTTTTAAAGAAACATGATCACAGTTTAATTTAGAAAAGAGTATCAGACATTTGAGTAAAATAAACATAAACCATCTGCAGTCCAAACTGGAGTTGATATTGTCATTACTAAGACTTTCCTTTCTAACTTTATCATTCTCTATAGTACCATTAATATTTATGTTCATTCTGTTTCTTGAATGAGTGTTTATTAAACGAAGAGGAGGGACAACTAGTGGACTATTTAATCCAAGTCTTCTCATTGCTTACATGGAGCACAACCTCCACATATTCTTCATTACTGGTTTCACTTGATTTGGGGTTGTTACTGGGTTTCCTCTGTCTGGGCTGTTCCCATACCCTGGGTTAGTTAACTCACTTCCTCATGGGAGTTTTTCCACACTACTTTAGGGTCCCCCTGTCATGCAAGCTCACAATCCTCTGTGCTTCTTTCTGCCTCATCCCATTTCTCCCAACTGCCATAAAATAGTCAATTCTGTAATTATTGTTTAATGTGTGTGTTTTTTTTTCCTGGTAAATCATGAGACCCATAATGGCAGAGACCGTGTCTGGCTTGTTCACTGCTGTCTCCTTAGCACTTAGATCAGTGCCCAACACTTACCCCATACTCAAAAACATGTATTGAATGAGAACACATTATCTTGCAGGAGACTCTTGCCCATGTTCCTATTCACATCTTTTGGATCCCACTGCAGAGGAGACTGAGTTTCAGAAATGAATTTTTATTTCTAGAATACAATTTGGAATTGCTTTAGGTGTATCTGTGACAGATGCCACAATTTGTTACAGAACTGTCCCAACTATTCTTTCAATAGCACAATCTTCAGAATTGAAGCGGTAAGAAACTCTTTGTGACAAAGGCTGAATCCTTAGATATGACCCTGACCTTATCAGACAATTATTTTTTTCCAAAATAGAACTAAGGGAAAGACAGTAAGATGCCAATACAGGGGGCAATATAATAAGACAATTTCACATTGTGCAGCCATGTCCATGGTCCTAATCCATACAGTCCCCTTATTCCCAGATTTGGTAACATTCTGATGCCTATAGGTCTTAATTCAGCAACAGTACCATTAAAATGGACATGGTGGTAGTGTTCATTCACCTGAGGTCTTTAGGCCAGCCCAGCCTCATCTTTGAAATTTTTCTGAGTGCCTCTATTTACTACCAGATAACAGGGGAATGGCTGGTTGTTGAATGTCACGCTGGCCTATGATTATTGGATCCTAGACATGTGACATGGAATGAGCAGGAGTCAAGCTTATCTCCATGTGTACCCAGAATGTCTGTTATTATCATAGCTTCTATAACCTCCTACATACAACTTCCCCAGTTTAATCTCCTGGTATTATACTTTTTGGTGTAGTACTTTTGATGCATGCCCTAAAAGAAATTCTCTTCTTTTGCTTGTCCAAAGATAGCAGGGTTTTCCTAAAAATCACAACTTTAAACTTGGTTGTTATGGAGGCAAGTGTGAAGAAGAAATCTACTCTACTTTTATTGTAGATGGGCATGGTGGTGTACACCTGTAGTTCCAGAGACTCAGGAGGCTGAGGCAGGAGGGTCACTTGATGCTATGGGTTTTTTTTTTTTTTTTTTTTTGAGACAGGGTCTCACTCTGCCACCCATGCTGGAATGCAGTGGCACAATTATAACTCACTGCAGCCTCGAATGCCTGGGTTCAAGAGATCCTCCCACCTGAGCCTGCCAATTAGCTGGAACTACAGACATGCGCTACCACACCCAGCTATTTTTTTTTTTTTTTTTTTTTTTTAGTAGAGACAAGGTCTTGCTATGTTGCCCAGGATGTTCTAACTCTTCAAGTGATCCTCCTGCCTCAGCCTCCCCAAGTGCTGGGATTACAGGCATGAGCCACCATGCCCAGCACATGTCTTCTAAAAGTTGCTGTTTCTTCCTTCTTAGTTCTTTCCCATACTGTTTTTCTGGATGACTCCTTATCATCCTTCAGGTCTCAAATGAAAGGTCACTTACTCAGAGAGGCTTGGTCTGACCACACAATTCAGTTAGTTACCTACCTCTTTAGTCGCTTTCTTAGACCCTGTTATTTTCCTTCATATCATTTATCACAAGTCTTCATATATTTATTGCATTGGATACATTCAATTCTGTCGATTTTCTTAGAATGTAAGGTTCCCAAGGGCAGTGATTTTGTTTTGTACACTTTTGCAATCCTAAGACCTAGCACAATGCCTGACACACAGCTGGTGTTCCATAAATATCTGTGAACTATTTGTTTCACTTATCCTTGGTCCTGCTACTGCATTTCAGTTCTTGCTACTGCGCTGTAACCTCCAAGAAGTAGGAGAAAATTATATTGCTCCCTCCCTCTGTCACTGAGTTACTGAGACAGCAGCCTTGCACATTTGAGCAGCTGCTGCCTTCTCCTGGGAGGCTGCCAAGTACCCCAAGGTGTACAATAATTCTGCTTCAGCCACCCGAGTAGCTGGGATTACAGGCACTTGCCACCATGCCCGGGTAATTTTGTGTGTGTGTGTGTGTGTGTGTATTTTTAGTAAAGACGGGGTTTCCCCATGTTGGTCAGGCTGGTCTCGAACTCCTGACCTCAGGTGATCCATCCGCCTCGGCTTCCCAAAGTGCTGGTATTTACAGGCGTGAGCCACCGAGCCTGGCCAATAATTCTATTACTAGTAATAGCTCTACAATCAGTAGAGCTGTCACAAATGCTTTCAAACTTACATTCATTGGTTCTCGCGCACCTGAAACTGCAAACGATTGCATTACAATTGAGAATTAGCAGACTGTTAAAGTTCTTTTTAACAATTTGTATAACAAACCAGGGCGTCTCACGCCATCTCTCTGAAATGAAATTCGGATATAGACACCCTTGCGCTTAAGGGCACTGCGCTCTTGCAGCAGCGCCTCTGCCCAACGGGGGGCGGCAGTATCTCAGTAACTCCAAAGACAAGTAGGTGGGAGGAGAGATTCGCGTTCAAAATCTTTTTGCCTCTATCCACTCGCCGTAGCGCCTTAGCCCGCTCGAGTTTCAATGCGCGTTGTTGCTTAACGAAGCTGAGTGCTACACACCGTCCGCTGCTCTCCTGATCATGGCTTCTCCGAGTTCTTTCACCTACTATTGCCCTCCATCTTCCTCCCCTCTCTGGTCAGAACCGCTGTACAGTCTGAGGCCGGAGCACGCGCGAGAGCGGTTGCAGGACGACTCGGTAGAAACAGTCACATCCATAGAACAGGTAAGGTGGCAGGACTGGGCGAGGCGCCCGCGCGGGGTCTTCTGGGAGCGGGAGTCCCATCAGCAGGGCCTCCCGGGTAAGGAACTCACCGGGGTACTACGACTCCCACAGCGCACCGCGGCGCCTCCCATCTGGGAAGCTCCGGGCGCCCAGGCTTGGGCTTCGTCGTGGAGCATTTGTGCGGCCAGCTTGGGGAAGGGTCGTTTCAAGGTTGGGCTTGGAGGAGAGGGCAGTAGCCGGGTCCCCTCTGCCCTAGAGAATGAGGAGAATCGTGTTCTATTCCTGGAGGACAGAGGCAGCCTGGGCAGGTCCAACAGCCCACTCCGTTCTGCCAGGACTTCGGGAGGTTCTGGGTTGCTTAGTGCACTTTTCCCAACCTGCTAGCAGCTTCTGGAGGCGGAGAGGAGAGAAGGACCAGGCTGCATCATGCCATTTCACGATATGTTTAATTTTTGACCTACAGTGCCAGGTTTGGGGGCCTGCCTCGTGGATGGGCATTTTGGTAGTCATTCAGCCATTTGAGCACCAGCTACGTAGTCAGACACAATATTAAACGATGGAAGTACAAGGAAATAAAACAGCCTCTGACCAGGAACCTGGTTAGGAACAGACAGGAAAACAGAGTTTGGAAGGTGCTCTAATAGAAAGTATAGATTTTGCACTACTAATCATTCCCTAAGGCCTAGCAGTAGGATCGAACCTATCATTTTGAAAAGTGTTTGGGGAATAAGTGTATATTCATATGCTCAAAACCGTAGTTTTGTTTTGCTTCTCTTTCCCTAATTGGAATTGTTCCCAAGGTTGTTAGGTGAAACTGTTTATCCATCTGTTGCTAGGAGAGGTGGTTAGGATGATTCTTAACACTAATAAATGAACATCCTGCTACTTCTGAAATAAGATCTCTTAGTGAGGTCAGTCTCCAGGATACACCTTGGAGAGATCTGCTTTGTATTTCATACTTGAAGTTGGAGGCCTGTATGCTGGCAAAATTAGTAACAATAATTGTTATATTGTACAGTTATGACTAAATCTAATTATAAATTTATAACAGAAACAAGGGCTTGATACATGGTGATTCACAAAGTAGCAGAGAGATATTTTAACTGGAGATTGAAACTTCATGGAATTTAGGGTAGCAAAGGAAATTCTCACCTCTTGAATCTAGCTAGCTCTCCAGGTTGGTTTGCCTACTAGTGTGTCCTAGGGAAGGCTGACTGCAAAAGATTGTAGAGAAATCTCCCATTGATGAAAAACCTATGGGATCTTTGCAGAATTCCTAAATGATGGATTGTTAGGTTGATTCAGGTCAAGTCTTTTACTTATTATCTGACCATAGACCATGGGTGGCAGAGTGAGACTTGGTCTCAAAAAAAAAAAAAAGTTTTTGTCTGAAGAAGTATAAGACAAAGCCAGGACCTGGAGTGGATAGTGGAACATTGGTATTAGAGAGCATCTTTTTTTTTTTTTTTAAGACAGAGTCTTGCACTCTGTGGCCTAGGCTGAAGTGCAGTAGTGCAATCTCGGCTCACTGCAACCTTGCAACCTTTGCCTCCCAGGTTCAGGTGATTCTCAGGCCTCAGCCTCCAGAGTTGCTGGGATGACAGGTGTGCAGCCACCATGCCCAGTTAACTTTTGTATTTTAGTAGAGACAGGTTTCACTATGTGGCCGGCTGATCTTGAACTCCTGACCTCATGGGATATGCCCACCTTGGCCTCCCAAAGTGCTGGGATTGCAGGCGTGAGCCACTGCACTCATTTTTTTTTTTTTTTTTTGTTGAGACAGAATTTCACTTTTTTTTTTTTTTTTCTTTTGAGACAGAGTTTCACTTTTGTTACCCAGGCTGGAGTGCAATGGTGCAATCTCAGCTCACCGCAACCTCTGCCTCCTGGGTTCAGGCAATTCTCCTGCCTCAGCCTCCTGAGTAGCTGGGATTACAGGCACGTGCCACCATGCCCAGCTAATTTTTTTCATTTTTAGTAGAGACGGGGTTTCACCATGTTGACCAGGATGGTCTTGATCTCTTGACCTCGTGATCCACCCACCTCAGCCTCCCAAAGTGCTGGGATTACAGGTTTGAGCCACTGCGCCCGGCCCAGAATTCTACTCTTGTTGGCTGGAGTAGTGCAATGGTGTGATCTTGGTTCACTGCAACCTCTGCCTCCTGGGTTCAAGCGATTCTCCTACATCAGCTTCTTGAGTAGCTGGGACTACAGGCGCACGTCACCATGCCCAGCTAATTTTTTAATTTTTATTTTTAGTAGAGACAGGTTTCTCTCTGTTGGCCAGGATGGTCTTGATCTCTTGACCTCATGATCTGCCCGCCTTGGCCTCCCAAAGTGCTAGGATTACAGGCATAAGCCACCATGCCCAACCTCCAGCACACATTTTAAGAGTCTAGGATGAACAGTTCCAGGTAGTGGGAAGATAATGTATCTCATTTCCATAGCTGCCTCACTGTTTTAATAATCATCTTAGTGAGCATTTATTGAGTCTCAGCACAGTGCTTAATGCTCTCCATACATTGTATCATTCAATCCTTACACATTTAATGGATGAGAAGATTAAGGCTTAGAGACCTGCCACATTGGTAGGTTAATGATGGTACATTCACCAAAAATAACCTTGTTAGAAGGAGTTGTTAACAGAGGATATACTATTATTCTTTACGTTTTGACTAAAGTTTCCATTTATTGAAAGCTCAGTTTTGTGCCAGTAAAAACAAATGCTTGGGCCAGGAGTGATGGCTGACACCTGTAATCCCAGCACTTTGGGAGATCGAGGCGGGAGATCGCTTGAGCCCCGGAGACCAACTTGGGCAACATAGCGAGACCCTGTCTCTGCAAAAAAAAAAAAAAAAAAAAAAAAAGAGGGGGGCCTGGTGCAGTGACTCAAGCCTGTAATCCCAGCACTTTGGGAGGCCGAGGTGGGTGGATCATGAGGTCAGAAGATTGACACCATCCTGGCTAACACAGTGAAGCCCTGTCTCTACTAAAAATACAAAAAATTAGCCAGGCTTGGCAGCATGCACCTGTAGTCTCAGCTACTCGGGAGACTGAGGCAGAATTGTTTGAACCTGGGAGGCGGAGGTTGCACTGAGCTGAGATCACACCACTGCACTCCAGCCTGCACGACAGAATGAGACTGTCTCAAAAAAAAAAAATAGCTGAGCATGGTGGCATGCACCTGTAGTCCCAACTACTTAGGAAGTTGAGGTGTGAGGATTGCTTGGGCCTAGGAGTTCACAGATGAGCCGTGACTGAGCCACTCTACTCTAGCCTGGGCAACAGAGTAAGACCCTGTATCTTAAAACAAAACAAAAAATGACTATTGATTTTGGTACTGGCGTGGGCAACATATCAAGACCGTGTGTCTATTTAACACAAAAACTTTTTAAATTAAAAAACACACACACAAAATAAATGCTTGTTACCTGCTTCCTATCTGATTATCAGAAGACTCAGTTTATTTGTTAAACAATAATTTGGTAATAGGAGCTAAACCTATAAATAGTGGGAGGAGTCCTTAGCTATGAGTCCTCTGTTCCATTCATTGATTTTCATTCATTCAGCAAATATTTGAGTGCCTTTTACGTGCCAGGCATTGTTCTAGGCACTTGACATAAGTCACTGAACAAAAGAGGCCAAGTTGATGCCTTTATGAAACTGTTTCTAGGCCAGTCAGGCAGTCGATTAAAAGAGATAATATCTACAGCTATCTTTATATAAAATGTTAATTAGAAGTGCTGTGGAGAGTAATACCTTGGGATAAAGGGGATTGGGTGTGCCAGGAATGGGTAGGGTGGGAGCAGGAGAGGTCTTCACATAAGGTGGTAAGATGCATTTGATGATAACGCATTTGATCTGAGACCTGATGTCAATGAAGGAGGAAGCTGTGCATGGATCTGGTGGAAGAATATTCTGGGCAGAGAAAGCAGCAAGCACAAAGGACCTGAGGCCAGCAAATGCCTGATGAGCAGAGGGCTTAGCAAACCAGTAAACAGGTGATGAGTCTATCATGTAGGGCCTCAATGGCCCTTGGAAGTACTTTAAAATACCCTGATTGAGATGGGGAACCACTTGGCTGGATAGCTGCCACTTACTGCCCCGGATTCACTTGGCCCTTTTATAGTCTGCTCTGTAGATATGCCCTAGCGGGGGCTCGGCACTAACAGGTTTCCTTGCTTTATGGCTGCGGGCCATGGGAAGTATTGCTGGTGGTGACTGAGAAGGAGAAGAATGAGACCGGTATATCTCTTCCTTCCTGCAGGCTTGTGTGGGCTGGGGTTTCTTTAGACTTAAGGTCACATTTCCTGTCTCATGCCTTCTCTGCAAAGCTCTTTGTCGCCCTCCATTCTTCACACCTTCAGGGCTAGGAAGGGATCAGGTACCGCTGATTTACCAGTTCCAGATACTGCATTTTCTCTTGTGGTTTCCCTACCCCCTGCCCACATCTTTGTAAATAGTTCCTGTATAAACTCTCCTCAAATCACCCACTTCGTGCCATCTGTTTCCTGCCAGGACTTAGACTGATCCATGATCAGAGGGTTTTGAGCAGGGGAGTGACACAATCTGACTAGCATGTTAGCAGGCTCATTTAGGTTACTGTCAAGAGTAGATGGTAGGGAGGTGAGGGTGGATACAGGGACACCAGTTAGAAGGCTATTGTAATATCCTGGGAGAGAGGTGACAGTGGTTTAGCTCACAGTGATAGTAGAGGAGGTAATGAGAAATGGTCAGCTCTGGATATTTTTATGAAGGTCTCTACCTTGCTAAGCTGTTATGTTAATGCATTTGATGCAGGGAGAGCCTGTCATCACGCTAGAGAACAGGATGTGGTTGTATTGTAGGTACCTGCCTTCCTTATTGTGCCGTCTGAAATCATCCCATGTGCAAACACTCTGATTCAGGCCAGTGGGTTAATACTGACAGTCTCAAAGATAGCAGCCTTGCCAAAAACAGGTGTTTACAAAAGATAATAATGTGCTTTTAGTTTGCCTTTG